GCAAGCTGCTGAGGAACTGTATGAGAAAGAACTGACCCCACTAGCAGAAGAAATATTAAAGTAATGAATAGAATAGAAATTATTGACTTGAGTTTAAGATGGCTGTCTCCTATGTGAATACATAGGGAGTTGGTATAGGATGGATATAGAGGATACAAACCTCATATTTTTAATGGATGGTGTCACCAGTCATCCCAGATATTATTGTATATGTTTATTCTGTTGTGTTGGTATAATAAAACCAACAAAGTATAGCTCTACTCTTCTCATTCTAGGGAGGGAGGTTGTGTTGGTGATGCTAGTATTAGGAAGATAGCATATTTTGATGGAGCTAAAGACCCTTCGCTCTTTAAGGGAAATGTAAGAATTATGTATCTGCCATTATGTAATGATAAAGTAGAGACTACACTATACAGGCACCTACACAGACAACACACTCACACACCACTTGAGTATGCTTATAATAACAGAATCTATAGTCTACACAATGTTCTTTTTTCCCTCTCCTTGTCCTCCTCTTTCTTTATAGAAGCGTGACAAGACTCGTGTAGTTACTTACAGGTGCCCCAGTAACTGTGCAGTTCAAGTGAGCCATATTTATGCCCTTGTCACAACTGTGCATCATATGCTGTTTATATCAGGTGTACAATTATATAGAGAAGACAGCTCGGGTTGTGTTTGGTCCTGATCTTGTAGTGCTGGATCCACATGAGAACTTTATTGTCCTCAGTTTGAGTGGTGAGGGAGAGAGGGGGAGGGAGAGGGGACAGCTAGGGGAGGGTGTCTCTTTATTGTTATTTTCAGCTGGTAAACCAAAGAAGGAGAATGCTCTGAAGACTATTTGCCTCATGCTTGGTCCTGACTTTATATCTGACCATATTACAGTAAGTGCTCCCTCTTAGCATTTACGTGTTTATTGCTACACTGATGTCCTCTTGTTGGTTTTGCAAATGATTAGCCTTTTCAGTCATGTTGTATTTTTCTTCAATCCTAAACTAGGGATATCACATGCCTGCACTTCTCAAATGTAAATTTACTGATCATTATTTTAGATTTAATAAAATTACACATTAAAATCACCATTAAGTATTTATGAAAAGTGTAGTATTCACTTTACAAGAATCACATTGAAATATATATAATATCTTACAAAACATTGTCACTGTCATGGATCTGGAGCTGCAGTCTGACCGGTGGTTTTCTGAGCAGCTGATGTTGGTCCGTGGTACTGGTGCAGAGTCTCCTGTTCAGTGATTACTCCAGTTACCAAGCAGCTTTTCTCCACTTGATCTATTGCTCTAGCAGCTACTCCAGTTACTAAGGAGCTACGCTCTGGGCCTCCCGCTGCAATGATCGGTTCGCTTGAGTATAAAGACGAACAGTCTTCATTATCAACCTCTTCAGTTTGGTGAGAGAGGGAGCAGGTAGTAGTGGTTAAGTGATAGGAGGTGAAGCAAGGCAGCGGTCTCTCCATTTCTCACTTGACCTAAATAAATATCTGTTACAGTACTTGCACAGCCGTAGAACTTGCAGATAAGTCTTCTCCGACTCTGTATTAATCTACGTGCAAAAATAGTTATTTTCTGCTTTTGGCTTGGCTAAGCGAGAGCACCATCACTCACGATCAACTGCTCACTGCTCAGAACATAGCTATTCCACTGCTATTTATACCGGAACGGGGGCTGAGATATGGCGCCATGGCCTACATGGACAGTACTGACCAATCAGAATCGGTACGTACATCCGCAAATATCTACGTAGTGGAACGCCCACGCACCTGGCATTTTTCTTGCCTAGTAACTAGGATAGGATCATAGGATAGTGAATGCATTGTTCCTGAGTTGTTTTTCTTTTTACCTATAGGTAGAAACATCAGATCATGCTCGTCTTAAGATTGCTGTATCAATGAACAATGAATTCAGAGTAAGGACACACATGAACCATGAACTATAGTTTTTATTCCTTCTGTTCTCTCCTTCCCTCTCTTTCCTTCTCCCCCTCCCTCTCCTCCTCTTAAGATTGAGAGAGGTAACCCAGAGAGTGAGGCTATGCTGTTTAGTGTTCCAGACTTCATTGGATTTGCTTGTAGAGAAGTTGGTGAGTCAGGCCCATACATATTGTGCTGTTGTGTATACTGTGTAGTGTATAGACTGATACCTAAGGCCCATAGGTAGGGAGGTGATTGGGGTGCCAGCTTGTCAAATCCTTTTTGTGCCAGGTTTTGATATTCATTATCCAAATAGCCTTGATCAACATAATAAAAGAAATGTATTTGTATTTTTTAATTAAATGCCTTTTGTATGTCATCAAGCTGTGTGTCTCCCTCTTATTTTTCACAGCTAGTAAAGTGAGAGGGAAGGTTGCTTCTATACCATTTGAACAGTTCCACAAGCATTCAGCCGATATTATAACTGCTGCTGTGTTTGGTAAGAATGCTGATGGAGAAGTTAATAAAGAAGTGATATTTACTGCTAATAACCTGGTGAGTTGATGTAAATATTTTGAACTTAGTAATTCACATCCATAAGTTTGCTCTAACTGATGATACATACATGTATGACTTGTTGTATTAACTAGTACAGTATGCCAATTGGGAAAGTTATGTCTGCATAATGATATTCATTACCATGTTTGTCACATCTGTCCTATTAGAAGCCTAAAGCCCTCTCAAAGTGTAATGCTCTCACTCTTTCTTCTCTTTTCTTTATTTGATTTAATTCCTCTACCTATAAAAGATTATAAATATGAAATACATGTATATAGCTACTTTGCTATAATCACCAAAGCTTGACCCCACAAAAATATTCATCTTTATAGAATTTGCTTTGCTCCTACTTGTATAGTGGCTTATGATTACCATTATATAATTGTATTGTGTGTAGGTTATGAATTAGTTGCACAATGAAATCACACATATAGGAGATCTAATCAACCATGAATATGATTATAGTACACTTGTGCCACTTGTGTGCTGAGTACACAACACTAACACAAATAACATTTTCATACTGGAGGAGGTCTAAATTCATACAATGACATCCTTATAGTCATTATTAATTGTGTCTACAACATGATACAATGACATCTTTGTATCTGTAGCCTGTAGTTACAGTAAAAGTAAGGAAATTTGCCTTACTTAGCACTAAGCATAGTTTCATCATATCTAACTCCTACAACAGCTTTACAATACTGAAGACTATAGCAAAGCATTATCTACATTATAGATTGCACTGGATCTGGAAGACATTGCTTTATCCATGCATGTTTGTATCACTTTTGAAAATTTAGCTAGCTCCTATGATGTAATTTATTGACTAACTTAATATGAGGATCATGTCAAGGCATTCCTCTTTAATTTTATAGTGTATGCCTCTTGGCCTGCAAATTTAATCAGTGTATATAATTGTATTGTGTAGGTGATCACTAATATTGATATTCAAAGTATTGAACCAATTGATCATCATATGAGAGACTCTTTATCTAAATCTGTGCAAATGGCAATTGAGATATCTACCAAGTGAGTCCACACTTCATCTACAATTTATATATACAGTATATGTGTAATGTTATCCACTCTACCAGCCCTGTTATGGTTTTGGGCCTGTCCTTAACCTGGGAATGATACAAATGAAATATCTGAAATATTGTTCTCTTCAGAGTGGATTGTTATTATACAATGATGTGTCTCCTGGTTATGATAGTGACCAGCCACTATCATAACCAGGAGACTTGGTCAGTGACCAATTATTAACTCAACTGCCAATGAATAACATTTTTTATTAACTAACTAGACGAATGTAAAACATTAAAGGGG